GTTAAACTCCTTCAATGTGATCCTGGGTCAATCGTTTCCATGGTATGGTTTTTTGACTCAACATAGATCGCATAAATAGCATAGTCGCTAGCCTACAGGATATAAATAACATTCTTTATCCTATCTTAACTAAACACTCTCTAGGTTTATCACCCCAAAGAGAGTTATAACTATATCTATTACCTCTGACCTTCTCAAAGTTCTATGCTAAGTTCCTTTAAATTATCTTTCCGCTTTTAGAATTGGTCATATTTGGTTTTTTCCTTTGTGAGCCTCCCCCCTTTCAAGTCTGGCCATTTAACATACTTTCTTTAGCAAGGTCATATTGAAACGCATTGATGTGTTGATAAGGGTAAAAGTAGCCCAAATACACTAGCGTCATATATTTACACAGGCTGTACTATTGTTCTGTGGACATCTAGTGGAAACTTACCACATACTAAGTAAAACGTTCTGTTTTGTAATTTTCAGTAATTTACAGTATTAAATTTAATCACTCAGTATGTATTTTAGTTATTTATAGTATAAACTAGATTAATACATAACATTAAATTTCTTAGATTACAATAACTACATTGGTCAAATGTGACAGACAGAGAACATGAATATTTACATGTAACAAGGCTGCTTGGGAGTGTTTGGTAACCTCGTCAGGCTTAGGCCCAGAAACATCACTAGTAGCGAGGGTACTTATTACCTAGGGCAGAGTGGTTATATAAGTTTTTATAGTGTTACGTCAGCGGAAGTCACGTGACGCTGGTAACACGTCATGAGATGAAAGAAAACGAGAAGTGGCAACTCAAACTACAGCTTAGCAGATTTGATGGCAGCAATACAAGAACAGCAAAAGAAACAAGAAGAACGAGAAAGTAAACAAGGAGAACGAGAAAAGAAACAAGAAGAGAGATTACAGCAGTTGTTGGAGGAAAAGAAAGAAACAAGAAGAACGAGAAAAGAAACAAGAAGAGAGACTACAGCAGTGGCAAGAAAACCTGCAACAGTGGCAGCTCAAACAGCAAAATAAACAAGAGAGATCACAGCAGTTATTATAGGAAAAAGAAAAGTAACAAGAAGAACAAGAAAAGAAACAAGAAGAGAGACAACAGCAGTGGTTGGAGGAGAAAGAAAATGAACACGAGGAAAGTCTCCAACACTTGAGAGAAAGCCAGCATACACAAATGGAAAATATGGGTAAATTTCAAAGTGAATTAAATACATTAAAGGACGATTTATTATCTTTTACACAAGGAGGATATATTAGCCATGGGCCTAGTCAGCCCCAGAGAACAGGAAGCCCCATCCAGACCCTGCAGCTAAACCCTAATGCAGACATCTTCAGTCCTGCCAGAAGTCACATTCCAGACATGTGTGTGTCAGCAATAGGGGTGATCTAGTAAGAAGGAAGCCACAGGAATTCGATGGGAAGGTACCGTGGGAAGCATATAGAGCATAATTTGAGCTCCTGGCAGAGATGAACGGATGGACAGAGGAGCAGAAAGCAGTGTACCTGGCAACGAGCTTGAAGGGAAAACCACTGGAAATACTTGGACAGTTGTCAGCAGACGACAGGCACAACTATAGAGCACTGGTAGCGGCTATAGAACTCAGGTATGGAACTCAAAACCAGTCTGAAGTCTACAGGGCTAGGTTTAGGACGGGAGACCGTGCTAAAGGGGAGAGCCTGCAAGAGCTGGCACAGGACTTGGAAATTATGGCACACAAGTCCTACCCAACTGCACCACAGAATCTCCTCAAGTTGTTGCTTGATCAGCTTGTATATGCCTTGGACAGTCCACAACTGAAGATACAAGTAAAGCAAGCACACCCCTCAACTATGCAGGATGCAATGGCCAGAGCTCTTGAATTTGAATCCTACGTTAAGTCCAGCACAGAGGTACCAAGGTGGGTACAGTCATCAGGATTCAAGGCCAGAAAAGGGCAGCTTTCAGAGAAGTTTGAGGGACTTTGCTGGCACTGTATTAAACCTGGGCACAAGAGAGCTCAATGCTGGCAACTTCAACACAGGGGTGATGCCACAGCAGGAAAGGCTGCTACCCAGAAAGGTTGTTGGTACTGTGGAGAGCAAGGACATATGAGGAGCCAGTGTAAGAAGAATGCCACCAATAAGTCAGCCTTAAGGAAACCAGTAGTGGTTGGTGTTGATGGATGCCTACCAACCCCAATCGTGAAAGCCCCAACAGCTAGGTGTAAAATTCCAAGCACACACAGTGTCTACGTGACAGGGAAGCTAAATGGCCAAAGGTGCAACTTTGTCACAGATTCTGCGTCTCAGCAAACCCTTGTGAGTATCAAGGTGCTAGATCACAAAGGAGTACCAGAAGCTCTTTGGTGTGACAGGACATTATACAAGGTTGTGGGAACCAGTGTGGGTAGCTATTGAGCTCATGGGCATAAAGGACAGACACGAAGTATACTTGGCTGGCACTGATGATCCATGCAATACCATGTGATGCCATTCGGGCTTAGCAATGCTCCAGCAACATTTGAGAGGCTGATGGAACGAGTATTGGAAGGCCTACAATGGAGGATAGCCCTATTGTACCTGGACGATGTCATTGTGTTTGGAACAACGTTTATGACGAAATGTACTGGCTAGAAGAAGTATTCAAGCGTTTAAAGGCAGCAAACCTCAAACTTTATCTCAAGAAATGCCACTTGTTCCAGAAAGAGGTGCTTTACTTGG